AAACTGCCACGGGCCAAAACATTCCCCGTGCACAATGTTCAGTGTCTCTTTGTCCCCTTCCTTCCAAAGGGAGGTGCCACATTCAGGTCAACGTGAGGAACACTGAGCAGGAGCTGAGCAGTTCAGGGTGTTCTGCAGATCCTGTCCCATTTCTGCTGATGAGCCGTACGTGTGCGATGAGCTTCCTCTCCAGCCTCCTCTGATTCATTCAGTCATGTCACCGACTCATGTTCCCGATGTCGTAAGAGCCTCAATTTTGACGGACTACAGCATCAGTGAATTAATAGGACAGGAAAAAACAGGTTACAGGGAAGGAGGAATGATGCAAAAAGCTTTGAGATAATTCAATGAATTTTGATTGGGAAGCCGGATTGTTCTTCTCCTCCTGACACCTGCAAGCAGCTTTCAATTCTCAAGTCAGCATGAATACGCATTACCCTAAAGACCCTGTAATGACAGCACAGCCTTCATTTTGTGTTTCCTGCTTTGAACATAGCAAGATGAAGGAATCTCCACAACCTGCTCCAAAAGCCAAGGCTGGAAAGTTATTTCAATAAATAGCAACTCCAAGGGGTCGGGTTAACCCTCATTTCCAAGGGATTGTTTCTCTCCTGGTTGGTTTTAGAGCAGCACGGGGAAGATGATTTGGGAAGCCACATCTATCAGACCACGGTTCCAAAATTCAGCTGGGTGAGCACGGGAACAACGTGCTTTGGTTATCTCAGCTTAGTCCCCAATAAATATTTGTGCATCTGCCAAAGTTCACCAGTGAATCAACCGGTGGCTGCAGTTCAAAACACTCTGGGGTAGCAGGGGCACAGAGGGACAACGGGAGCAGGACGTGCTGCTCAGCTCCATCACCAAGGGATGCTACAACCGTCTTTAAACCCTCCTAAAACCACCAGGCAAGGCAGGACCAGGAGCAGAGCTCACCCATGGTTAGGTCAACACAAAGTGACAGGGAAAGGCGTGCAACTGCATCACGTTGGCTGTAATCAAACAACCAGCCCTCAACCACAGAGAGAGGTTTATAGAAATACGTGGAAGTTGGGAAATTTCCAGGTGAGGGTTCCAGGAACAGCCCTAACACTGTTTAGGTGAACATCAGCACCTTCACTGCAAGGGAGACAGAGCTACTGCCAAGGGACAATCCAGTCTGTCATGTGGCATCTGAATCAGCCAGGAAGATGGGGACTTACCCAGGATGCTGCTAAAAAACCAGATGTGAAAAATAAAGGATGAATGATAACTAAGGGTATTAGGTGAGGATGGTAAAATACCTCCTCACCAAGGACAGGAATGAAGGAGGAAAGCAAGGCACAGGCATGAGGAGTTCCCTTGTACCTTGACAGGGGAAGGAACAAAGTTGGGAGCACACAAAAAGTGATGGGAAAAAGTCATAGAATCATCTAATCCCAGAATGGTTTGGGTTGGAAAGACCTTGAGGACCATCCAGCTCCACCCCCTTGCCATGGGCAGGGCACACTTTCCACCAGATCAGGTTGCTCCAAGCCCCATCCAACCTGGCCTCGGCCATGCCCTGCCTTTTTGGGGGGAGTGGGAATGCCTAACCACGTCCACACCCCCAAAAGGAAGGCAGCAAACTGCAGCTGCTCTAGAATTACAGCCCCTGGAGAACCCAGAGTTGTTTTAGGTGAGCACACCAGACTGCCTCCATTTCACCAGTGGACAAACCAACTCAGGACACACTTCCCACTGCTCAGCCCTCCGAGCTCAGCAGTCAGAGCTCTCAGTTTCACAACTGTGGGGAAACAGTTTCAGGGGCAGCAAGTTTCACAAGGAGCAGTTGGGTGACATCTCACTGTGTCCCCTGTGAAGCCAGTGCTAAGTCTCTTTTTAAGGCTCCTATTTCTTTCAGGTGAGCTACAGACAAAACCTTTCCCAGGATCAGAAGCCAGCAGCCCTGTGAGCTGGAGCTCCTCAGCAGCAGCTCCATGTCCTCGTAGGTAATACAGGAACAGCTTGCTGGAACATAAAGTTGGGGAGCAGTAGCTCAGAATCACAGAATGGTTTGGGCTGGGAGGAACCTTAAAGCTCAACCTATTTCAACCTCTTCCATGAGTAGAGACACCTTCCACTGGACCAGGCTGCTCTAAACTCCATCCAGAACTTGGATCCCTGACCATTTTCTTCCTTAGGACGCAGACAATTCAGCAGAAACGCAAGAGCACAGCTCAGCAGAGGCCCAACAAGACAAATATCTGTTTCTCCACAGCCCTGCTGCCTGATCCACACATGGTACAGCTCCACACCAAGCCTGCAACTGCTCTGGCACCAGGGACACTCCAAACAAATGGCAGCTCGCCCGGCTGGGTGATCATTTTTGGATTATGTAATCCCAATACATTATTATTAGACCAAGAACAAACTCAAGCAAGGAACTGAAGACATTTCCCTGCCCGCTCTGGCAGAGGGACAGAGCCTTGTCGCAGGCACGGCATGGACGTGCTACCCCGGTGCCCCAAACAGGTCAGACTGCACACGCTGGACTCCAGGTAACACAAAGAGCAGGATTGGATTCCAGGCCATTATCCATATTACACAACGCTGCCGTCAGTTCCACCACGTTTCAAAGCAAACCCAGCAGAAGGAGCCTGAGCAAATTTTTTCCATTTCACCACTGCGGCCCAAAATGAAAGCGGAGCCGGACTGGGCAAACAGAAGCTGCAAAGGTGTGTTGGAGGTGGCTCCTGGCCCAGCGCTTCCGAGGAAGCAGAGACATTCAACAAGCTGGGGAAACTGTTTATAGAACCCATGCAGAACGAGCATATGTGTTTAATAGCCCACTAATTGTTGCGTTATTCACTACACAAACAAGCAGCTCTTCTGCCCTTATCCCTTCCTGCCCAGTTAATCACCAGGAGCCTCTGACTATTTCTCTTTTGGGTGGCGGTGAAGGAAGCAAAGTTCATTAGTGGCCGTTGGCCACCAAACAATCCTGAGCCCAGACTTCATTTAGAAAATAAACACCACTATTCATGTGTGACATGGACTCGGAATAGCTTCCCAAAATATTTAACGCAGCTGCCTGTAGTCTTCCCACTCTCCCTCCCCCAAAATAAAAGGCTTTCCCAATATATAGGAAAGAATTACTTGGATTATTTGTTTCATTTTTCAGAGAGAAAAAAAGCTAAGAATTCAGACTACCCAAGTCACTTATTCCTCCTGACTTCTCATAATGCTGATAAACACTCATTAAAATATAAGTTGATAAACCCTGGTACAGTCATTACCTTCGTCCTCACACAGAGATTGCCCAATTCAGTGATGTGATGTAACCAACACCCTAAATTAAAAATAGTGTTGTGACAACATATGGTTTATCCTACAGAAGCTGGCAGCAGGACACTCCTAATGACAAACGGGTTTAGGCTCCCAGCTTCCCCCAGCAAGGTGAGGAGACAGAAATGCTCGTTGCAGGATCAGAGGCGGAAAGAAAAAAATAAAATGAAAATAAAATTACACTAAAAAATGACAGTTTTGAACCCCCCTCCGGTCCATCCCAACACCAGCTGCCGAGCTTTGCCATTATTCTCTATTTACATGACTAATAAGCTCTCTGGATGCATTTCAAGGAAACGGCACGGAAAAGACAATCTGGAAATTTCAAAATACAGTCTGAACGTGCCTCCCCCCCCCCACCCCGACTCCCGGGAGGGGAGCACCGAGCCAGCGGGGGATGAACAACCCGGTGTCCCGGGGAGGGGACAGCGACGGAGGAACCCCCCGGTCCGGGATGGCAGCACCGGGGCTGGACCCGCCGCCCCCCCCTCCGCCCCGGCTTTGGAAACCCACGTCACGTTCACCGGGGAAACGGGAGGAGCACCGACGCCCCTTCGCCCCCCTCCCCAGACACTTACGGGGACTGACGGCAGCTTCTCGTCACCTCCCGGGGGGGCACCGAGCGCTCACCCCCGCACCGAGACCGCGGGGCCCCTGGCACCCACCGGGGTGGGCACACCGGGGTGGGCACACCGGGGGTCCCCCCGGCTCACCCACCGGGGTGGCGGCACAACGGGGTGGGCACACCGGGGTCCCCGCTCACCCACCGGGGTGGGCACACCGGGGGTGCCCCCGGCAATCACCGGGGTGGGCACACCGGGGTCCCCGTTCACCCACCGGGGTGGGCACACCGGGGGTCCCCGCTCACCCACCGGGGTGGGCACACCGGGGTGGGCACACCGGGGTCCCCGCTCACCCACCGGGGTGGGCACACCGGGGTGGGCACACCGGGGTCCCCGTTCACCCACCGGGGTGGGCACACCGGGGGTCCCCGCTCACCCACCGGGGTGGGCACACCGGGGGTCCCCCCGGCAATCACCGGGGTGGGCACACCGGGGTGGGCACACCGGGGGTCCCCCGGCTCACCCACCGGGGTGGGCACACCGGGGTGGGCACACCGGGGTGGGCACACCGGGGGTGCCCCCGGCTCACCCACCGGGGTGGGCACACCGGGGGTGCCCCGGCTCACCCACCGGGGTGGGCACACCGGGGGTGCCCCCGGCAATCCCCGGGGCGGGTAGGGGAAGCACCGACACCGCCCGGTGCCCCTCGGGCTCTTGGCGGAGGATCACGACCCCTCCCCGGTCACCCACCGGGGGGCCCGGGGGGACCACGCAGACGCTGCCGGGGACCAGGGACACACCGGGCTGCCCCGGGGCGTTACCGGGAGGGGCACCGCGAGTCCCCCCCGGTGTCCCTCGGGGGCCTGGCACCAGGATCGCCCCCCCCATCCCCGGTTCCCCGGTCACTCACGGACGGGGGGGGCGGCCGGGAGCCCCCGCACCCTCTCAGCCCCCCACCAGGGTGTCCCCCCGCCCCAGGCCGCACACCCACTTCTCGAGGAGCTGCCCCCCTCTCACCTCCCCTCACATCCCCGCCGGTGCCGCCCTCGGGGCTCCGTCCGGGGGCCTCGTGGCGGCCGCCCGCTGGCCCTCGGCGGGGCCGTGCCCGCCGCCCCGCGCCCGCCAGCCCCGTACCTTACAGGCCTGGTAGCTCTCGAAGGCGCGCAGGGCGCTCTCCGTGAGCTTGACGTGGAAGACGGAGACGCGGGTGCCGCGGCCGAGGCGGCCGCAGGACAGCCCGTACCCGCGCTCCGCCTGCAGCGCCGCCATCTTGGGACCGTCTCCCCCTCCGCGCCTGGGCCGCCGGGGCCGCCCGCTGCCGCCACGCCCCTCCTTATGAATTATTCATGATGCGCCGCTCCGCCGGCCACGCCCACACGGCGCGCCTGTTGCTGGGGCACGGAGGTGGGCAGCGGGAGCGCCCATTGGCTGGGTGATGCCAGGCGCCGCGTCGGATTGGTCGTTAGGGAGGGGGAGGCGGGGATATGTAAATATAGGCGCGGGGCATGCTGGGGAGGGTGGTCTGGTGCAGCCGGGAGCGCTGCGGGAGTGTGGGGAGGGGGCGGCGGGTGGGGGAACCCCGGAATGAACCCCGGAATTAACCCCCTGACCCACCCCGGGCTGCGAACTGCCTGCAGCCCCTTGGCATCAAATCTCCGGGTGTGAACCCCCCAGGCATTGAACCCTCTGGACCCCCGGGTGTGAGCCCCCCAGCCATGAACCCCCTG